GGCACCCCTTCGGACATTTCCTCTGACCGGGGCGCGCAGTTCACGTCTGAGCTGTGGAACGCGGTGGCCCAGAGCCTCGGAACGAAACTCCACCGCACGACTGCATACCACCCGCAGGCTAATGGGCTATGTGAGCGATTTCACAGGTCAATGAAGGCTTCTCTTCGCGCCGGCCTCAAAGACGGCAACTGGGTCGACAAGCTCCCGTGGGTGATGCTTGGCATCAGGACTGCACCGAAGGAAGACCTGCAGTCCTCGTCCGCGGAGCTTGTTTATGGCCAGCCACTGCGGGTTCCAGGGGATTTTGTCCCTACTTCCACTGTTCCCTGGTCTGCGACCTTACAGCGGGCCGCACTACTGGACAATGCGAAGCTTTTCGCGCCTGTACCTACTTCCCGTCACGGCCTCCCTCAGTCGCACGTCCCCGCTGGGCTTCAGACGGCTGACTATGTCTTTATTCGCCACGACGCTCACAGGGGACCGCTACGGCCGCCCTACGAGGGTCCATTCCGGGTTTTGGAGACGGGAGACAAACATTTTGTGGTGGACATGGGTGGTAAACCGGAGCGACTCTCCATCGACCGCCTCAAACCAGCTCATTTGGACGTTGCTAGGCCCATTGAATCGGCCCAGCCCCCGCGACGCGGGCGTCCTCCAGCTTTGCGCCCACCCCCTGTGTCCCTCCCTCCCGGGACTCCCACACTCAACACCCCGCGCCCGTGTCGCGGTGGTACACCTGCCACGGTTGGGGCTCCTCGACCCCCTCTGAAACACAGCCGTTCTGGTCGGTTGATACGGCCTCCTCCCAACTGATTATTTTTCGTATGGTGAATTCTGGGGGGACGTGTGTAGTGAATGTGACTGCATAATTCACCTTTGTTCTTGTTTTGTTGTACACGCAATTGCGACTGTTCCGGGATCACGGTCCCTTTAAATGTTTTGTTATGTTGTGACGTAGAGACCCTTGCTTGTGAGGTTACAGGGCTGCGCCATCTTGAGTGTTGTTACGTTAATAATAAACGAGACACACGCTGCTGTTCTCAACTCGCGGAATTGCCTTTCATTACAAACGCAACTTCCACAATGTGACATTTAACACATTCTAACGTCTATTTTGTAAAATGAGTACTCAACATGATTCAATACACAAAAATATAACATGCCGTGTCATTCTGTATTTGCATTGAGGAGCTGACTTTTGTTTGTGTGTTCAAGTTGTTATTTGCTGATCCCGAGTGTATCAAGCTCAGGCCCGCTTTTGTTTACGTCTCCTAGTTCCATTGAGAGCTCATTTTCAAAACTTGCTCTGTCCTGTAGGATGTGAAAAGAAGCACAGCACAAGAGGCCTCAACAATACCTGTCTCAGTGAGTCCGGACATATCAGTGCCAGGTACGTTTTGTGGAATGAAAACTTAAAACTGTGATCATGCTTTGCCCAACCACCTGACTTGCCTTGGTTGTCTTGACAGGGAGTCCAGGTTCCGCTGATCCGATGCTGGAAGCCATCATCCAAGAAAAGCTAAAAGGATTCAGCAGAGAGGCTACTGACCGGAATGACAAATACAGGAAATGCAAGCAGATGCTGCTGGTAAGAAACATTATTTACGCCCCTTTATTGATCATATGTTCCCGAAACTAGATGTTCAAACCTCCAAAGCTCTCCGAAGGTAAGTGCGTGGGTCCGGCACTGTAGGATAAAGAAATATGATTTAAAGAACGAGCACTGGTTAATGTCTGACTGCTCTTCAGGAGGAGAAGGAGCGTAACTGCATGTTTGCCGATGAGCTCGCCAAGATGGAGTTGAAATTTAAGGAACAACTGAAGATGAATGAGAACATGAAACTTCAGTTGGCATCAGAGGAAGATCGCTACAAGGTCAGTCTAGATCCAAAGCACTGCGGCCGGGCCATTTGCTGCAAGCGATGCGCTGCTGGTGCTGGTGCTTTCAAATCAGGTCTGCCTTTGGACACTTACTGCGTTTTTACTGCAGGTATGGCTGGTTTAGCTCTGGGACGGAGCCTTTGATGCTATCTCTCCCCTTGAGCGGAGCCTCTCTGACAGTGTTGTTTATAAGCAGGCCTATCTGTGAGACGACATTTTACTGCTGTTTATTTCAAACTCTGCAGACAAGCGAAGTTTGGCTCTGAGGAGTCCTCTCCAGTTGCCTGACTAATGCTGTGCTTGGCACAGGTCGGCCGGGTATTTGCTTAGTGTCTCGGGGGAATTCATACAGGTCGTTTTGCCTCGACCGGTATTGTGCATAAATCCTTCCTCTGCGAAGGGAAGCCTTTTATGGCTGCCATCAATTCATGCATCCCGCACTGAGGTCTGAGAGTATTTCCATCATGCGGCGTGTCAGATGTTTGAGGATTGAAAATGCTTCTTGTCTTTTTGTTTACTTCAGAGCCAGGTAGCCGAGAAGGGCCGGGAGCTGAAGGAACTGAAGGACGCACTAGCACTTGTTGTAAAGAGGAAGGAAAAGGTGGAGGGGGTTAGTGACAGCTTTCATTTTCTCTTTTATAGACTTCTTCCACTTTAAAAATTCCATGAAAACGGCCTTTCCCCAGCCATTTTCCCTCCTCCCAATCTGGTTTGTTTAATATGCATCTAATTGTAGAAGCAGAGTAAATGAGTTCTTATTTTCCATTCCATTACTTTGGACCGCAGCAAAGTCCTCAGTGACCTAAAACATTGTTCTGAGTTAATGCTCCTACAGCTAAGAGGAGCAGAGTGACCCAATTTGAGGTTTAGACTGTAAACTAAATTGGTGTCTGCAACGAACATCAATAAAACTCAGCCTCCCAATCCGTTTTAAAAAATGAGAAGTTTCTTTTTTAATGAAGGGACAAATTAAACTGTTTGTGTGAGCAAAAGAAGTCCTAGCCGAGGAGGGGCGGTGGAATGTGTCACTTGCCTTACAGGCGGGAATAGTGAAGTGTCACTGTATGTGTAACAGAATGTAAGAGTAACAGGGAATACATGAATAACGTTGACATTCGTCTCTGTTGTTGTTGTAAAAATAAAATAGCAATAATAATTCTTCTGCTTCCTGCTCAGGAGCTCCAGAAGGGCGACAGCAGCAGCAGCAGCAGCAGCAACAGCAGCACCAAGGGAGACCAGGGCGGCAGTGAGAAAACCAGTTTGGAGAATATCCAGTCCATTGTGCCTTTATTCCTGCAGTACCCTGTCCCTTACACCCAGGATGCCCCCACCCCCCTGCTGGTCTCTCAGAGCCCCAGCAAGTTGCATTTTGGGAACCCTTACTCCATCCCAGACTCAAAAGGTTGGTTTCTTTTTAAGAAAGATTCACATAGTTTTTTGTCTTTTTAAATTCTGCAGTAATTTGGACTTGTTCTTACAGCATGTCTCTGAATTCTGTGCCTGCAGATGAGGGAGATGAGGAGTTCTCAGATGACCAGCTACTTAGGCTGCCCCCCGTGGGCCCGCCCTCCTGGGACAGTAATGTGGTGTGTATCCAACCCGCCCGCAACCACAGCCGTCCAGAAGGCCACGAGGAGTCCGAGGAAAAGCAAAACAACAACAACAACAACGTACGCTAAGACTGTACTGTCCGCAGTGTCTCATGTGCAGTATGCAGTTGAATTGTGCTGATTGATTTTGTTTTCTCCTTTAAATGATTGTCATTCACAAACGTTGCCTCTCAGGGTGATGCCAGCGAACAGCCCGCGGCAGCTGAAACTCGCAGCCCATTTGTGAGTGACGGACAAACTGCCTTCTGCTTTGATCCCAGGTAACACACCCTCACATGCTCAAGCTCCAAGAAATGCCTTCGACATTTGCTGCACTCTGCATTTCCAAATACGTGTGCATTGTTACCTATGTAGGCCGCCCCCCCCGCCCGAACAGATGCTCTCTGCTAGCCAGCGCTCCCGGTTTGCCCACAGCATCACTCGACTGCTTTTTAACCTGCCTTTTCTTCTCCCTGCATTTATCTTCTGTGCGCAGCATGGACATGAAGCGGTGTCCGCTGTGCGAGGTCATCTTCCCACCCAACTACGACCAGAGCAAGTTTGAAGAGCACGTGGAGAGCCACTGGAAAATCTGCCCCATGTGCAGCGAGCAGTTCCCGCTGGACTGCGACCAGAAGGTGTTTGAGAACCACGTGCTGACCCACTTTGACTGCCAGCCGCTCGACTTCGACTAGGATTGAAAAACCGAAATAGGCACATCCGGTCCGCCTACTTCCTATGGCCACTGACATAATCACTCTGCACTGTTTTCTGCATGTAATGGTGTGAAGATCCACTCTGTAGGACTGTGCTGACTTTCGCTTTGTTACTTCAATTTAGAGAAACACTTGAGGTGATGGGACATTTTGAAATAACATTGTAATTCAGTATATGGTGGGGCTACGGAATTAACATTTTCTTTTATAGGTGAAAGGGTTCCCTTCGTTTGGATTCGAAGAATCGTTTAGCGGAATATGACTGTTGTACGTGCATACATGCTGACTTTAAATTGACTCACATGGTTCTATCAGACTCCAGGACGTAATGAATCAGGGAAAGAGATGCGTGTTTACCAAACTTACATTTAAAACACTCAACCAAATGATTCCCCCCTTAAACATCACTGTACAAGTCATTTACTCATTCTTTGTAGAAAGCAGCCTTGTTGCACAATATGCAGTCAGGGAGAAATCTCCAGTGACTACATCTAGACAAGATAATACAGTATATCATCAGATCATCTATTTTAGAATAATTAAAGCTATGGTGAAAACATTGATACTTTGTTTATGATATAGATTGTTTTCACGTTTTGGTTTAGAATATGTTTCTTGGGTTTTGTGTCTCATCCTTCATAGCATCAGCTAATCATTGCATGCAGAGCTTTTGTTGACTTTCCTTCTTTTGTTCTCTTTTAAAATAATAATGTATTTCATGTTTCATTGTGAAGCAATTCTTATGTATCTAATAGCTAATAAAGTCTGTTTGAATCTCAATCGCGTCTCAGTGAATGACATGGACATCTTAAGGCACACGTCAGAGGAATTTTTATTCTAAATGTAACAAAAGTTGACATGAAGCAGCTTTTTGAAGAAATACAGCACAACATTATTTCTCCCAACAACCTCTGGTGTTGCCTTTTTCATACACAATATGAAAATATAATTTAATGCACTTAACACGTAACAATACATTCACTGTACACTATATCAAAGACTTTCCTCCATACCGGCAGTACAGTACTGTCCCATATCTCGAATGCACCGTTGCTCACTAACATTAATGTCCATGCAGTGTTACCCAATGGCTTAAAGTTGATAAATCAACCATCTTGTTGCATTTCATGAGCTGCGGTTCATTATCTCAAGGTTCTGAATGGTGTTGTACATACCCTCAACTGAGCGTTTTTATGGCACACAATAGAAAACTGCATGGTTTTTCTTCTCACAGCTCAACATAAACTAGCAAAATACATGACGAGCCACAACTTCACTCCGTGATAGTTTCATAAGACCGTAGTCGGCGAACAGCAAACCGTTTGGGGTGAGCGGCTGTCTGTGTTTTGTCTGCACTTAGCTGAATTTGTCAAATACAAAGATCTGTACTGATTGGAATGATTTACATTTCAAGGCAACTACTGTAGATACAGAAGTCTGACAATACTGGGAACCCTGGAGGTTTGGTGTACATTATCCCCTGGAGAAATGTACAACTTGCAAACTTCTGCTCTGAAGGCCTTTCGCCTCGTTTTGGTAGCTACAGCACGTACACCAGAAACGAGAAACATTGGAAAAAAGAAATGCTGACTTGTTGGCAACTTGTTATTAAAAAGTGCTTCAATCCGTCGCCGTAAAACTGCAAAAGTCACCGTTAGGTAACGATGTGGCAACGTGGAGCTGAAAAGCTTGCAAACGTCACCTGAGATCAGCCTTTGGTGCTCACACACAAGTGTTTGCAGTAAAAAACAGAGGTTTGGAACTTGTGATATGAACAGAAGAGTAACTAAATAAAAAAAATGGATCATTAACATTTAAGTCTGCTAGGAAATGAAACTTAATATATATCACACACATTCAGATTCTGTCAAATTAGGTTCAAATACAACAGAGACCAGGGAACTTTGCCTCCTTTCTCTACAAAAAAGAAAACACTCAAATCTTCCCTGTTTCCTCTTGACGCCACGCTACCTTAACAAGCAGCTTACTGTACATGCAAGGCTACTCGAGACGTGTTCTGGCAGTTCTTTAGACTACAACGAGCCGTCATCATCAACAAGCACCATATGTTGAACACAAAGAATAGTATAGTCAACTGTATAAATGATTGCTTAAATGTGCAAAACACAGAAAACGTGAACTACATAAAAAAAAATCAACATTTCGAATAAAAGTTAAGGATGAATAATAATACATTTATACCATGCGGTCAAATCTAGCGTCATAGCAAAGTGGGATAAGGAAGAGGGGGGAGGGTTGTGGGTGAAGGGGGTGGAATGGGAAACAGCCAATGCTGGTGATGGTGGTGTTCAGATGGTCGGGAAGTGGCCCGAGGGAGAGCGCTGCTCGATCACTCCGCCTCTACTGCTGCATCTTGCGGATGATGTCGGTGGAGACGGGTGGGTGAAAGTTGATGGTGTGGTGGCGGAGACCCTGAGACGTTTTGTAGCTCTTCCCACACCGGCACTTGAAGGGTTTGCGCACCCTAATCTGGGTTCGGTGGCCGTTCTTGGCATGATACTTGATCCCGTTCACATTCTGTAATGAAGCAAGGAACACACACTGATGACACCATGACAACATACAGGTACACTCATGCATTAGCATGTGCAATGGAGCCATCCCACAATTAGATCTTGCATGTACTGCGTAATGAGGCTCGCTGCTCGCTGGTGATAGACTACGGAGAGAGGAAGTGAAATGTCTTATGTCAGAGGCCTAATACTGCCTGCTGCCTCCGACTCAGTTATCGCCCATAACCCTGTCATTCACGTCAGCAATGCAATTTTCTCAAGCTGCACATCATTTATCCCAACCGCACACACCAGATGTGAACGGAAAGTGCCGTAAAACCCCACAGCCCTGAAGTGGACTGGATGCACGCGTGCATGTTGACATGCAATGCTGAACTGAATTGTGCGAGGAGTTTGCGGCGTGAAACCTACCTTGTATCTTTTTTTGCAGCCAGGCACGGGGCAAGCGAAAGGCTTCTCGTCCCCTCCGTTCATGCACATAGAACTGAGGATGGACTCGGAGCTGATGGCGCTCTCTGTGGTCCACGACTCATCACTGTCGGACTCCTCGAAGTCTACCTCCTCCTCATCACACTCACTCCCTGTGGGGGGGGGGGGGGGGGCGCGTTGGGCAGGATTTCAAACAGCAATTGAGTCACATCGTCATTAAAACACACAAAACACGTTTTCCCAAGAGCTGCGTTTCCTTTCTTGCTTCGTGACTAATCCGAAACATTGATATCGTGGCCTTTGAGCCTTCATGGTTACAAGCAAGGGCCGTTCTCAACATATGCTTGGTGCAGTTTTCCCGGGATGACAAAGTTTCCAGATATTTGCCAATCGTGGGAAAGAATGAATGTATTTCTTTGAGCGCATGCGGTCAGAAATTATTTTCTCAAATAATTGAGGACGTCATTACCAGAGGACAATCTAAAAGACCACAAGAGCTAAAAACAAGACAGAGCATTCAAGTCTGCTTACTTTATAAAACAAGTACATGGGAAAACATGAGAAGGGAAAGATACGCAACTGTTTTCTATTATCTAAAGTTTGTCACTGTCACGTCATGTAAGAAATGTCACTGATTAGCTGCACTATGAAAGCTCCCGTCTTCCTTCCTACAAGTTTTATTCACATCATTTCTCCAAAGCTCATGCGTGTGCTTTAATTTACACAATAATTCATTCATAAAGCACCAAACCTCCAACCTGCATTGGAGCCGTTGAGTTCATCCACCACGTAACAAAAAACACTTGCAACCAACAATTTAAAAAAGGGAAATATCAAACACGCAACATCCAATCATATCATTTCAGTTTTATCATTCAAGTCATTGCAACTGACAATTTCTATTCAGACGTATAAATAAATGGGGGTAAACATGGACACGTGTCCTGTGACAGTATCTTGACATTAAATGCAATGCAGGCGGGTTGCGTCACTACATGCTGGACCTCTGAGCGGAGAGCTGAGCGTGTACCTGTGGGCGTGCTGCTGCGAAAGGAGGAGGAAGGGGTGATGGGTGGGGTGACCGGAGGGGTGAGACTCCCGCTGGTGTGGCGGGGCGGAGTGGAAACGCTGCTGCGGGACAGGCTGCCCGTCAGAGACAGAGACAACTTGGGCTGCGCCTTCTTCTTCAGAGTCTCGTGTTCTCGCCGCGCAGCGTCCGTCATGAACCTGGCGTGGCGGGAGAGGAGACGGCGCAGCGTTTACGCGACGAGCGGCCTGCGGTTCAGATACTGACGGTTTGCTACTGCAGAGCACGTGTTTGGAAAGAAATATATAAAATTGGCTCTATTCCCGTTAAAAGAAACCCTTACAGCAGGGTTTATGATGGATAGTAAAGTAGTCTTTGGTAAATGCATATCATAAAAACAAAATGTTAACACAGACATTGTTAAAGCAAAAGTGGAATTAACAAATTAAGCGATAACCACATCAAGATGTGTTGGTGAGGGCATGGAGACAGAGCGGCAGACCTTCTCGCACACTTGATCGTTTTAAAGCACCACTGGAGCGCTATATCAAAGAAGACTGGGATGAACCCAAAGCAATAAAAAACCAGGAAAATAACTGCTACTAAATACTGAAGCAATTCATCTAAGCGATCCGCCAGATGAAAATGCTGGTGGGACTTCAGAGGTCTTTTGTAGCTACATTTTGATAATGCCAAAGACTAATACCATGTAATTCCTAAAGTAGATGATGACTGGGTTGATGATAAAGTAGATGATTGACTTTTTGCACAAATGAGTGGGAATCTAACTGTTTTCTTTTTCTTTCTCGATTGGAGTTCAAAGATTTCTTTACCTGTTGATGTAGCTGAGGGCAACATATGTTGGCTGCTGCTGCTCCTGCTTCTCCAGAAGTCGGGGGTCTGTATCTGAGCAGGCGAGAGAGACAGAGAACGCACAGCGTGCTTCATTTTTGCTTTTTTATGTTTGGCACTGCAGCTTCACTTTGTGTACTACCTTGTGTATGTATTTGCACTGCCCTGGCACAAATTAATGGTGCAGGGACGGAGTACAATAGATTTTCATTGACTAAATATGGAAAAGAGTGCAATTACAATCCAGAATTACAATTATATAAAATCACTGCTAACCTCAGGAATATTTACAGAAAATAGACACATTTACTCTGTTAAATTAAACTTTTCAGTATGACTGAACATCTTTTACATCTTCTAAATGTTGTTGAAAACGAGAGATGTTTGATGTGACACTTTGCTGTCTGTCCTACCTTAAAATAACCTACATCAGTGATTGAAGCGTGTGCATAAACATAAGGAGTTGTGTCCATACTCAGCTGATGTGACAAATAAAGGCTAATAAAAATATTTCTAGAAAATAATCAAAACGCAGGATATTTTGCAATGAATGTGCAGTACAGCTGGTTAGAACATGATGTCGTGCACCACTGTCTGGACTGCCGTCACTGTTTAGTTGAGAATTGCTGGAGAAGAGCCACAGTTTCCAAGCTAATGCTGGTTTCTTGACTTATTCCCCTAAGGCCTTCGTACGTATACTTTTTTTCCTAAGCTGGATTAATTAAAATGTGTGCACTTTACTGCATAATTAGACCGCTTGTGAACTTTACCTTTGCATAAAATGTACAAGGACAACGTCTCAATGAATTTCCACGGCCGCCTCTTTGAAAGTAGACGCCACATTGCTCATACATGACCACACTTGACGCACACTGCGTTTCCCCATGCTGTGCTCCAGACATTCATCTTGCTCAGCAGTGCTAAATGCACAACAATAGCCAATCTCCACACCCTGAGGTGAAGCGGGTCTGACTTCAAACGCTCTCCCCACTGGCGTCCATGTGGGAGAAGGGAGATGCCCCATAAAACAACAGCGTCTGCCACTTGCCAGCTGAGCCTCCCTGTCTGCCTCTGACAGAGCTGTGAAAGACCGCCACCCCATGTGGTTAAATCTATTGCTCGTTTCCATCCACCAGCTCGTTTATACGCAACACCTAAGGCCATTTTCAAACTTTCAGATGACGCTTTGGTAAGGTGAAGTGCGGCTTTAATATGATCTGTATATTCAGCAAGAAAAAGGAGAAGAGAGACACGGAGGTGGTTGATACGATTTTAAAAGGACTGTGGCAAACTTATGGAAATAATGCAATTAAAGTTGTCTTGGTTAAAAGGGATATGTAACACCTTATTAAGACTATAGTAAAACTCTGAGTCATACTCAATTATTGCTTCCGGCAGTGTTGGGCTGTTCCTCCTTTTTGTTTGTTTGTGTGTTTGCCTAGAACAAAAACACCTAAAACAGACTTCCATTAAATATCTACCGGACACAGACGTTGTGCCAAAAGAAGAGCGCATAAGACTTTCACTGCAACGAGGACACAAAGTCGACTACAAACTCTCAAGGTGTCTGAGGGGAAAATACTGGACGCTAGACGTCAATTCCAAGTGAGATCTGCGTCTTATAAATTATAAGTTATAAATACATCATTTGGGATTTAATCCCGTGTTAATTTAAACCTGATTTTAGACTTGTACCACAAGTGAGAATGTTTATGGATAGTTAGAAATTAATTATGATTTAATATTAGTTGGCATTCTTACTTTCAGTTCTAATATTTCATTAAAAAGTCACTGTTTTCTGGTCATCACTCCAAATTAGCTTTGGAATTTTTTTTCAACTTCTCCGCTAATCATAAACACATATTGTCCTCTACAGGCCATGACAAGACATCTATGCATGCAAACAATGGACAAAATGGTTTTATTAATTCCAAAATTACAACCATTCACACAATCATCTAAGAAAGGAAACGGAGTAAACTACTGGCACGAGCGAGGGGAAAGTTGACGTTGACCAGTGGAGCTCAACCCAAACCACATCTTTAGCATGAACGAGGAAGCTCACATGTTTGAGGTCCAGCGGGAATCTAAGTCAACAAACCAATGTCCGTCTTACTGAAAAGTAGATGCGATTGCGTGAAAGACTCACGTCTCGGTGGTTCCCGCCAAGCCGCTTGGTTCACTATGAAGTACCTTCATGTTACCGGCAGGTAGGCTCTGTAACAGCGTCAACCTCAGTCGTGGGCCAGTGTTTCATTAGGTGGGTTTGTCCCCGAGGAGAAGGACAGCGCACCTCTCTCAGCTCTCCAGCCGACGTCACAGAGTAGGAAAGGCCCGATGACAACAGCACTAAAGGCCGGAGGCCGAGCAGAGGCCGCTATGTGCGTTTGCGTGAGGGCACGAGAGATTGCTAATGAGAGTCAAAGAGCGGAATGGCAGCCTCTAACAGCAGCGGATCAATCCGTTTCCACACGCCGTAAATCACGCACACCTCAGGTGGGGACCGGGGCGAGGGAGGCCTCCGGGGGCCAGTTTCCCCCCCACAGACTCTGCTATTCCTTTTGGGCCACCAGCAGTCGGCGAGAAGGACAACGGCGCCTGAAGCGGTGAGGAGAAAGCCCTCTAATCAAACCACCCAGGTGGTCCACTTTGGTGGGCGACTATTAGAAGTCTTGGAGGAAACAAAAAAAAGAAAAAACATTTATTCAGCGCCACTAATCCAAAAGGCAAACAATGAGTTCCGATAAGCCTCAGTGATTGTTTACAAAAGTCAGGCGCGATAAAGAAGAAGACAAGAACAGATCTGAAATATGTGAAATTAATGTCTAATGAGGCACATTATTGATTTATACTGATTACACATCTGATTTTTTTTAGGTACCTAAAATCCAGACAAATGTAAGAAAGAGGCTGATTTGCTGCAGAAGAGAATTCTTTTTTCAAACAATCCAAAAAACCTTTTGTGAAACAATTCTCAGTGTTAGAAATGCATCATGTTTCCATCCAGAGTTTGTAACTATTTTCCCTTTTCTGATACATCTGCCCGAAACTAACATGATTAGCCTTAATGAAAGAGTTCACACACGTCTCACTGGCTTCATAATGACTGACTGGGCCTGTTTTTAATGTCCGTGTGTTAATTGTATAGTAGTCCATGAGTGCAGAAAACATGATGCAATAACATGTTCTCATTAGAGCCACAACAGGAAACCAGGGGACGATCACACAACAAGCCTTCCTAAGGCAACGGAGGAAGTGACGCCTGCTGCCCTCTCATAATGCCCTCCACGACCCTCTCCCTCACACACACACACACACACACACACACACACACACACACACCAGACGCACAGCCCCCTCTTTCATTTCCACCAGTGTCTGGCTCTCCCATCCAGCCTCATGGCCAAATGCACGGTGGGGTCGAGCGGCGTGGTGAGCATTATGGTGACATGTTTATGGCGGCTGTGAGCAGCGGGGAACATTACCAGGAGTGGTGGCACAGGTAATTCATTACCATGTGACCTCTGAGGAGGAAATGAAACAGAGTCCAGTTCCATGTGTAATCTGCCATGGCGACTTACTGAAAGAAAAATCATTAAAGGGTTCAAGCTAAAATGATCCATTATAAATATGTTTAGAAGAGACAGCAACTTAAACATATAGGCGCAAAACCCAGTGTGAAAACGCAGATTTATTTGTGCTCATTGCAGACATAATTGATTTGCAATAAACATTAGTGCTGCAACTAATGATCATTTCCATTTCTGTTAAATCTGGCAATTATGTGTCCAAAATGTCCCAAACATTTTGCTCACAATAATAGAAAACGTTGCATTGAAAGAGCTATAAATCGACCCGAAGCATTTTTTGAAAACTGAAAAAGCCGAGTGACCCAAACCCTTTTGTTTAGATCCGTAGTAGGACGGATATAATCAGACCACACTGAATTTCAGGGATGAACTGAATGCAAGATGATGTAAATGGACAAAAGTTTCAGGTTTCATTTTGCTTTCACAGTCTAATCTGTGTCGCCGTGGTGAAAGAGGAGTCCTCGCGTGCACACGCGTGTTTTGCGATGTCAATACAAGCTGTGCATCATCGCTATGACGACTGCTTTGTCGAGTACAGGAGCCCCTCGCGTCGCAGTCACCGCACAGGAACAGGAGCACTGGTGTTGGGGGATGGGGAAATGTAATTAGGCCAACCAGGTGCACAGATCTAAATTTATTACTTCCGCAACAGATTTTTGGGGGGTTGCATACAAAAATCCACTAAATGAGCCGTCAGTGTGATTTGGCAACACACAGACTCACTGTTACAAACCCTGGACACTTTGGGCCATCAGCGAGCCGGGCCCCAGCAGCACACACACACGAATAACACGGTCGCTATATTTGCTTCTGGTCGCTCGGTGACAAGGTAAACACTCGCTCCGTGCGTGCTCTTTTTTTCATGCCTTAGACCATTGAGGAGATCTTTCAAGCGTTAACATTTAGAGTTAGTCTCTGTGTAAAAAAAACCCCTCCCTCTGGCCTTGCTGGTGTTTTCTGGGGCTCGTTAGGAAACGTCTCTCTTAAAGTCAGCTCAATTTGTTCACAAAGGTCTAAGTGGACCACCCAATGCGCATATACCTCGAATCTGCTGTCAAGTAGGTGAACAAGCAATAGCAGATCTATTTTAGTTGGTTTCATCACAATCGTAATTTAATTTTATATTTGATCAATGAGATTTTAATTTGTTTTTTTTTGAGGAAAAGCACAAACCTTTCTCATCTACATGTTATATTAACTTTCAAATGTTTAGATCATCACCCACGACCAGTGTTGAGGGTCCTTACGATTCAAAGTAACTGTAATAAACAGTAAAGAGACCAATTAAATTCGAAACTCGCTATTTCTTTTCTTAACATGTTTTATTTACTGATGCTTGATCCCTTCTGTTTACTGTATGAGACAATACATGTGGTAATTAAATGAACAGAAAGTACATTTTGGCATAATATCCAGAATGTTTTTTTTTACGTTACACACCAGCATCTCAAAAGGGCTCTCAACCAACAGCAGAGCAGCGCCACCGTGTTGTTCACAGACACGAGCCGGCCGAGGGAAATGGGGACAAGAATGCGTGCTTGTTTTCCAGGCGCCTAATTATAAAGGAGAATGTGCTTTAAGCAGCCGGCCACCAGATGAGGAGGAAGACAGGCCAAATCAAGCACTCTCTCTCTGTAATTATGCTTCACAGGCACTTGGCACAACACGCAAGATTTCGCACTTCTCAGAGTAGGCACAGGCCAGCGGACAAAGGGTGTGGGGGGGGGGGGGGGCAGCAACGTTTTTCCACTGTGAGCCAACTAATTGGCTCATTATTCCCCAATAAGTCATTTGGAAGCATTTCTTTCTACGGCTAACACCTCGGACACATGCACGGCACACCATCGTAGGGCAGTCAAGCTACCAACAAGAACAACGCAGACAGCTGGGCCTTGTACCGGACTAAAATATTAGGTCAGGAAACAGATGTATAGCAACTAAACTATGAGGAGTGGAATTCACCTTGTAGCTATAGGCTTACTTATGAAAAAGAAAAAAGTTCATAATAGAACATAAAATGTGTAAGAACACGATTAATTTGTCATTTCTGACATGTTTATATAACACTTGCATTTCTATTATAGACATATATATACACAGAATGGCCTGGAGAAGCAAACCAAATAACTAATAAAGAAATGAATTAAACGAAACAAAGACGTGTCTTAGGCTTTTTAAGTAAACTGGTCCACAGCTTATAACTGCATTTCACATAACCAACAATATACAGTTCATTTTGTATTACTTCACTCACCCTTGATTTGAATGGGCACAAAGTGTGAAATGTTGCCATCGTGTCGTAGCTTGATCTACATGACATCCGTATCTCCTCACACAGGGAGTTCTTGTTATTGTTTTGCACCACGTGAACTGGAGGTGGCGCTGTTGATGCGTTTCGTGTGGTGGGCCTTGATGTGCAGTCAGGGGAGCAGCAGTGTTGAGCTCACTGTTTGCAATGTTTAGCAGTATACTGTATATAGACGAACACTCGTGTGGGATTGGAAATGATTTAAATGCACTATAAATGTGATTGTTCGGACTGCGATACAGTTGTTGTAATCGTGGTCATGCAGCAAAGTCAAAATCTTGACATCACCATTATGAGACACAAGTCATTGTGTGTTATACCTCCTTTGAATCAGATTGAGGAAAACTGATTGTTGAGAATGGATTGAAGTTGTTTGCAGGAGGATTTGCTGTGATGGCCCTGATTAACTCGGATGCAATCGTACGCTATCCGGAGATATTTTAGCAAATGAATACCGCAACTGTTGTCCAACTACTTTAATTTAGTCAGTGATTAGTGACAAAACAAAACAGTTGAACGTAATTTTAAGCTATTTTGAAATTGTTTCATTATGATACACACGTATTTTCACCAATGAGATCTGACACAAGGCTAAAACTAATGTGTATACACAAATAATGATGTCTGTTTGTAATGAGTAAGTGATAATGAGAAAACCTTTAAATGGTAACAACTGGAATACAACATTTGTTCTTGTTTCTTTCAAAACCGATGAGGCCAAACATTGGCAGTAAGTCAACACTACACATAGACTAAAGTTTCATTTAAAAATATGATATGGGCAGACATGTCTCTGAAAACTACCATGTCAGATATGTAATAACGGAAATATAATATTAAAAATACCTGCAATGAATAGAAAATGTAAAAATCCTACCCTGAACTATCACTATCTACACGTGTGACTCGGCTCATGAGCGCGTCCTCACTTGCTCTCAACAAAACCTGCACAATGTTGTCGCCTGACACCTGAAAACACGCCGATGACCGATCGGCGTCTCTGCGCCTCGCGGGCAGCTGCACGCGCGACCCCCCCCCGTAACGATGCGGCACGACGGAGCTCTACTCCCGGCCGGAGAGTCACCGCGGCCCCGGCGGGCATCTAATCAGCGATCGCCGCCCCGATGCAGGATGTGCGAGCGGTGAACAGGAAGCGCGATGCGTTACGCACCGAACGCCAGCAAACCACCACGCCCAGCAACAGGCTGCGTTGCCAGGACGCAGGAAGTCGCCCGCTAATAGCTCGCTGCCTTTAGCCGCCTCTGCTAGCCGCGCAGCTCGGCCATTGCCCGCCGGGCCGCGCGGCGCTCGTCGCCTCTTACCGATGTGGTTGTCCTCGATGTGCACGATGAGCTCCGCCAGCGAGTCGAAGTGGAGCCCGCAGCCGCCGAACCTGCACGCGTTGGGAGAAGAAAGAAGCCGCGGCGATGCCTGTCATGGTCGTTGCTGCATCGGGAAAAACGAGGGGGCGGCTGGGGAGGCGGCGGGCGGACAGCGGTGGGAACAGCTGGAGCGGCGGGGGCGGCGCGGGGACCTCTCCTGCGTTCCGCATCAAACCAGCTGGAGAGAGAGAGAGAGAGAGAGAGAGAGAGGAGGAGAGACAACGAGACCGGAAGGAAGGCGGTTTGGTTTTCATTAGAAAAGAAATGCACACATATTTGATCCGCTAGTTGTGAAATGTGGCCATTCGATCGCAAAGCAGTGATCAATAAATAATAAGTGCTGTAAAAAAGAAATCATTTTTTGTTGTACATTCAATTAACCTATTAGAAGTTGATTCATTTTCAGGTTCATCTTGATCTAGCATTGTATTTGAGTAAGTGATTCTTTGTTAAATGTTTTGATTTATTAGAATAATGAACGTGCTAATCAACTACACAATCTATTTAATTATGTTGTGGTCCGTGATCAAATAGATTCAATTCCAGCAGTTCTTCAACAAAAAAAACTGGCATATCCCTGAAGGACTTATAAGTTGGATTTGTACATTTTTAGGGGAAGTTGTGTGTTTTCAGATGATATCTAACTTGATACATGTTTGTGTAGTTCATACACACTGAGGAGAAAATGCAACCATAAGTTGTCCCCAATGCAGCGTCTCCTCTAAAAGTGCGAACCGCTTTGAAGAACTCTGTTTGTCTCCATTTCTCATCTTAATCTAGATGTGTTACCACTTATATCAGCACAAAATGATCTAATATCGGTCTTATTGATGTTATTCCATGATCAATAATTATTTTTCTGGTGTACATTACTGGAACACGAGGTGGCAGTGTTGGTCAGATGTTACATGTGAGTCAGGTTTGTTCTTTGTGTTCAGTAATTTAAGGGACTTCTTTTTTGTTGTTGCGTACATGATGCTATTTACTACTCAATATAGAATATATTTCTCAGTAAAAGTTGATTAAAAACTTCAGTCTGATGATATAACTACATTAGTTAAGCACCAATAATGGTCACTTCATGTTTAGTTATATAGACAAGCTAGGAAATCACCTTTTGCCATTTCTATAAATTAAGTGCTCACACAGAAAGTAAACAATCAACTTGCACATTTCCCTTGAAGCCCCCTCAGGTCTTTGTTGTTGTTTTACCCCGTCTGTTGTCAGTGGTTGAGGTAGAATGACGCAATCCCTTGCAAAACAAAAACAAATGTCTGTCCGATCTCTCACTGGTATGCAGACAGTGCATATTAATCATGTTTGCATTGGAACGAAGATCTACTGCAAATTGGCAGGGAATCCATTTTTAAATTGTGATTTACTCCCTTTAACTTTCTCCAATGACCTTCTTGCTTGCATTGATTGACTGTGCAGTGACTTGAGGTTGTTTTAGTGCGTAATCATTGAGAGCTGCCCATTTCCAGATCAGCCGCTGCCGTAATGGTTATACTATTTCTTGTGGTTTACTTGAGACCACAGAAATATCACTTTTAAAGCATTACATCCAACGTAGTCTCTTGTTTGTTATTGTTTAATTGTTTGTGCTTAGTTAGCTCGGTTAGATACGGACCCCCCCTTAACAAAATTGCACCAGCCGAGACGCACTCCAACCTTCATGCTTTTTAATGAATTTTTACAACATAACAACTGTCTTGAAGTGTAACAGAAACACCTTTTCAGCTCCAAAAACATCCTTGAGAAATGTATTGAAGTTCAGAGGTGTTTTTTGTAGAAGTGATACTCTACGAATGAATCCAACATCTTATTTGAAACTATGTTATGATATCATATCAATCAAATCTTCCAAAATGAAATATAGAAAGTTATTGTTTTATCATCCATTAATATGACACTTTCTAAACGCTAGCCCGGGAACATTTTTACTAATGACTTTAATAACCCAGAATGAGCAAATACAGAAGCCCAATTCAGCTGTCAAAAGATTGATGAACTCACCCACGAATGCTGAGCACGGAGGACATCGCATGCGCGGTCATAAATCTAAAGAGTCCCCTCGCAGGCAGGACCATTCACCAGCCACCTAATGTAAATGTTACAGGGTTGAGTGTTTGAGTGCGTGAATGTCACTGGGGTTATCTACTGGGAACCTCCCAGCACGTATGTTTTGTTGAACAAGGCACTCGGTTCCAGGAGTAACGTTTGCCGTCCCGGGACCCCGAGGACTGACCTCGCTGAGGTGGTTTTCAAACCTTTGGTCAAAAAGCTTTAACCTGAAGACCCAATGTGATCAGACGTATGCGTACACACAGTTCCATGCGGTACGGTTAAGTCCCCACAGACCTATTCAGCATTGCATTTACTGCATGGCTTTTTTCAAGTGCAGAGAAGCGGGTTTTCTACAGGCGTTGACTTTGACACAGGATTAGAGCAGAGCATGACAAATGACTAAAGGGAGGTTCTTCACCTTTTTAAGAAAAAAAACTGTTTGTTTGAATCAAAGATAGGCAGAATCATCTCTGCTTAAGGTGTGCAAAGCATGACCCCCAGTTTTAAAGTAACATCCCATCCATTTGAACGCCTAATTTCCATCTTTGATTGTGGCACAAAAGTGAAATATTCTTGAAGACGTTTTATATTTCGTTTACAAATTGCAAGCCTGTACACAACACCTATTATTATTATTATTTTGCATCCTTTTCCCTTTTGCATCCTTTTCCCTTTTGCACCGGCTGCAACAACGCATCCTCTCTGGTGCTAATCTTCCCAAGGTGATCTCTACTCAAACCCATATCACAAAGGCATAATAATAAAAGGTTTAGTATAATATAGATCAAATCCGCTTTAGCGTGGGTCACTGACCCAAACTGTATCAGCTCTTTCCAACCTTAATAGTCTGCTCCTCTGGGAGCATAATGTTTGGATTGGTTGGGAAATATATCGGCAATAAAGAGACAAAAGGATGTCATAAACGTTGATTAAAGCTCTGGTTAAAAGACAGAGGCGGAGAAGCTCTGAGTTATGGGGGCTTTTCAGACTGCGTTATTGTTTCAGTGACAGAGCTCTTAGTGCGTCTCGTGGAGTGGTCGCAGGCGAGTGGTAAACATTTCTCAACGCGCGAGGAGTCATTAATCCCTGAAGCCGAGGACGTCTTCACTACTGGTGTCTGTGGGCCGAGAAATCACGGCCAGTTGGCACCAGCAGGTCACACAGAGCTCCAACATAAATGCTTTTGTACTCAAAAGCTGTTTAAATCTCTGCTAATGTGCCGTGGCGAAGGCAGACAATTCAAGAAAGGCAGCGGGAACAATAATGGGTTCTGCATGTTCAGGGCATTTGCAAGTGAAGCTTAATGACGCATGTAAGTTCTGCCAATTTGTGGTCCTATTAATGACATTTGTTTTGTTAAATGTACAAAAAAAGGTAATAATATGTTTGATTTGCTTATCAGAAAAGCAGCCGGTAGAAAGGAAAAACAACCTTTCATTCTTTGACAACAAAGTCAAATAATGATATTTATGCTTTGTTTGAAATATCAAAACAGTTACCAATGCTGCCCAGGACTCAATAATTAAAAGGGATGCCAGATTTACTGGTTTGTGACAATCCAATTGAAATGATTCATTAAATTACAGGTGGGATCATTTGTCTTAAAAGGCACCTGTGGCCAAAATCTAGTTCAAGCACCTTCTTTATTGTAGTTTTGTGCTCATAATTAAAACGTGTCCAAATCAAAGCTGTGATCATCAAATTACCAGCCAATATGTCTGAAACAATATTTCTATTTCACAAAGGGAAATGGAGGAATGAGCTGATTTTGGCCTCAGGGCTAGCAGGTTAATCCTGGCATCACATGACAGAGTTCTGGACACATCTGGCGGTGGCTCGTCATCATGGCTTCATATTGCACAAAAGGCCCCCTCGACATGAACAAGTTCAAATCTAATATAAAGGCTTCGTTTCGACTTTCGTCCTGCAAATACTTTACAAACTTGCAACTAATGAATCCAGTAAGGACTGTTGAAACATTTGGACAGTTCACAGTATAAAGCACCAGTATACATAATCAAATCAACGGTGGCACATCTGTCATTTAGCTGCTATTCATGTTGAACTTGCGCTTTTTCCACAGTGACAATTCGACAATCTAAATTACTTTGATATAGTGGCTTTTTTCTGCCTACTCAAGCTGTTTCCTTTATCATCATTAATAAACCAAAAAAAGTGCCTTAAGTTAGCAGGACACAAAATGTCTATTACTTCCACTACTTGAAGTTTTTAAAGTTTTTAATTTTTTTCCTCCAGCAGCAGCAAGTGTTCTCTTCATGTGTTAACATGTGTGCTTAAATATTGACCATTCATACTTAAGAGATGTCTACTCCGCTGGGACGAGTGACAAAGTCAATTAAGAGGAGGCGGGACGTGCCTTCATTTGCATGCCTAATTGGTCACCACTGGAGACCGCGCTCTGGACCACACCCACTCCCGGTCCAGCAGCGGAGCCGAGCCGTGCCTGTGGGTGTCGCCTTCGTAAACTCCGCCCCGGACCGCAATGATTTAGAAGTTCAGGAATCCCACGTGACGTCACCCGGGGGATGACGTTATGCTTCTCTAAATAGATCGTATTGTAATCTTTTCTCAGTCCAACGTGGTTTCTTCTCAGAGACTGCTTCGCATTTTCTATACTTGTTTGGTAAGTTGAAAACCTCACCCCACCATGCAGAGGACCGTGCACGCGCCGCTGCAGGTTTGTTGTTTGTTAAAAGAGATCCTTTTGACTTTTTTTCTCCTCTCTTTTTTTCATGCAACAGCTTGCTTTGTTGTCCCTACACGGTGTCGAGATGTCATGTTTTGTTTTTATTCTTCTTCTTCATCATCTCCTAATTTTTGTATGCCAATGAATGAGAAAATAGATCGCGCTGGTTTATGAAGTAACGCGCATTGTCATCGCTGTCCGGTGTCCGTGCGGTGGCCTAATCTGTTGACTGTTGGAGTTGAACGCTGGAGTCAAGTGCCGCTCATCGGTCCGTCGGAGACAAGTCTGCAGGAAATCATCTCGAACCCGACTCAGAACTACAGAAGTGATCATTGCAAAGGATGATTTGCCATTGCAGTTCACGCCGATTCCCTTCCCAAATGTTCTGCTTGCTCCACATAGCTCAGAGCTGGAGCCCCGCATCACTGCCGTGCCCGTCCCATCTCGGGATACGGATACCGGCGTTGGTCCCGACCGCCGCCTGCACGCGCGGTGCACCGGTGATCGTGTGGATAATGATCGCTGGTGGTTTCGGTGGTCTCGCCAATTAAAAGAAAAGAGTGATGATGAGGCTGCTACCGAGAAATGTTCCGTTCCCCGTTTTTCCTTTTGAGAGCAACGTGCGCCACATTACGTCATTCTGCAGACCAGTCGATATTTGATGAGATGTTGAGGGTTACTTTCAGGAAGGTTGTGCTGACGAGGCCGCTTTGTGCCTGTATACGTTACGGCTTGAAAAGAGGAAAGATGTTTTAATCATTTGATTACACCCCGCTGTCATTATGTTTATTGACAACGCCATCAATAACCACTTGTTCACCATGCACGCTGCTTTAGATTCATGTGCAGGCATCCCTTTTTATTTAATATTAGCACCTAAATTAAATATGATGATAATGTTGGTAATGTTTGTCCTTTATACATACTGACGTTTTTACTGCTAGAAAGTTATGTTTTTGTGAAAGCAACAGTCTGATAAAAATTAAAAGCTCACTTCCCATTTTGTACGTCTTTGCAGCAAATATTGTGGGGAAAAATCATTTGATATATTGATGGAAAAAGAGGCAATAATTGTATAATAATAATAAATGATAAATCCGTTTTTATTTGTATCTAAATCTAACTTTTAGTAATGATCTACTGAAGTAAATATAACAAAGTAAACCTTAAAATATGAGTTGCAAGAATGAATGCAAAACAGATAAAACTGTCAAATAACTTACTGGATAGCATGAGTTATTTAGTGACCTTGATGCAATTCTTTGCATATTGTACACAACGTTCAGCTTGATTGCAGCGGCTCATTGCAGTAATAAAATGTGACCTTTGTTTGTTGATGCTTGTTGCATGTGCTCAAGGTGAAGCATTCCTCTCATAATAACTCTATAGGGGTTGAATAACATGATTTACATCATAAATCTCCAGTTTGGCAACAGACGTCTTACTGCACTAAAAAGAAACTTGTGCAGATGTTAACTTGCACATTTCTAATTACCCTGGGAATCTTTCCTCTCTTTCAGTAACGGTAAACCAAATATTTAAAAAATAAGAATAGTGCGAGCGACACGGCAGCCCTCTGAGTCCGTCTGACTTTCTTTGCATTTGTTATAAGGGCACATGTTGTGGAGGAGAGTAATTGGTAGGTCTTGAAGTTTACGCCGCAGCAGTCATTTTGTCATGCATTCACTTCAAGAGCTGGAGTTCAGGGCAGAGGGCCATGTTCCTTGCCCCGGGGTTTGCAGTGATCCCACCTTGAACTTGTGCTGTCAAAGGCCCAGGCTACGGGGAGCTGGAGATTTGAATTGCTGTGCATGTTTGTGCTTGCTTTAACCCCATATGCACCCCAACCCCTCTTTTCCTCAACATATTGTTTAAATTCTAATATGCGGTCTACCTGGAGAATTCCTTCCCAGCTCCTCTTGAAATCGAACGCCCGACCCTAATCCTTCCCCTCGCACACATCAGGATATAGTTAATGTAAAGTGTAACCAAATTTCCTCTGCTAAACTAAAACATATATATCAAATGAGAGCCAAGTGCCGCTTACAGGGAAAAGGAGGGTGGTTGAGATACTGGTAATTTTAAGTGTGTGAAAGCTATTGGATAATTCACAGGAATTCATAGAATTAATGATGAAAGCATATGGCTTGAATTTCCTGGTAGATGTGATGAAATGAACACATCTCATTCTAGAAAGAGGAATGGGTGGAAGTCACATTTTTGCATCTGTTTTAAAAGTCCTCTAGTTTCTTAATATCGAGGTTGGGGGGAGGATGCACTAAAAAAAATATATAAATAATTTTGTAGGAAAAATCTTGAGACCACAGCAGCATTTTCACGTACAGACGTAATTTGTACCAACAGCTAACGTTCTGTGTTACTGTATTTTATATATAATGCACCCTAAAATGTTGACTCACAGCATGTCACGTAGGCGGACTTGCCAGTGTCCTGGATCTAGTATGTGTTCACGGTTCGGATGGTCATAGTTAGTCGTGTTTGTTGTGTCAAAGGAAACCAGGTGACTTTAGAGGGGCCCTGTCGTAGAGACGGAGCGAGCTGGTGACAGAAAGAGAGGCCGGGGCTCATTGCGGCCTGACAGAGAGACCCTGTCCAGATGCTGTTCTGCAGGCTCGCTCGTGAAGTACAGCTTGTTAGGTAAACAACACTGCTTAGCATAACACAACATTTGAGTGTTTTGACTGTGCTTAAGGAAATAGTCTGAACCCGTGAAAAAGACACACATGTACATAGTGTATGAAGGTATTCATGCTCGACTCGCGACGTGTGGCGGTGACTTGAATCTGGGAATTGTTCTCGGGAGCTGATGATGGTGGTCGGTAAAGGTAGAGTAATGAACTTTGATTGTAGTTGTGTTGTACATTCAAAATGATGGGTGCAGTATTGCTGCTGTAAATACTGTAAATAGTGTGGAGGTTCCACTCATTATCCAGACTGTAAATGATTTAAAAAAAGGCCAGTGGGGATGATTAAATTATTGGCTTCTTTGCAGACCCCTTTTAATTGTTCGTGTAAAGCATTGACATTTAGACCGAAGAACACAACATTCAAAAGTATACTTGCGTGGCTTGCTGACAGTTCCTTGTATTCATTCAGCTTCACTTTTGTTTATGGCCACGTAGAGATGCATCAGTTGTTTTTAACACCTACCAGCTATCCTCATTCACCCGGGCACTATTCAAATAGTTTGTCACTTGTTTGAGTACAAATGGGTCTGCGTGAGGGGAACTCCGGACGTTCACATGCTCTCGGTGCAGCTTTGGGGAAACTGCGACCTTCCCGTAAAGAGTTAGAAGGTTCAATCCCCGTTTGTGCTTCACCAACAAACCCCCGTGTTCACAGCTCGTATCGTCCTGTTAATGATCCAGCACCGGCCCAAAGGCAGAGATGGTGCCTGAGTGCTGGATTAATGAAGACAACCTTCATTCTAAAACATTTGTCCGAAAGTGAAAGACGTCTATTGTGCATGTGGTGACTACTCAGAGGTTGTTTGTTAGTGTGCGATGGTCGTCTGCATCGTGAGACCTTGAAAAGAGAAATACGTGATAATGATACAGCAGCCAGCAGTCATTACAATAAGATGTTTGAGGCAAGAACCGAGGCGTAAGTCCAAATGACACTTAAATAATGACATATCTTCTCACTCAATTAGATAATTTAAACTTGCGTTGCGTTGTGTGTTGTGTTGTCTTAAAATAATCTTTAGAGACACAATAAAAAACATGTCAATTTGCACCTGTCTGACAACAGAAAACAGCAGCGCTGGGTGATGTTGGCAGGAACGACTGCAAAAGTTAATGGTATAATTGAATGTGTGTGAGGCATCGCATGCATCAAATGCAATGATTGATTAAAGTGCACTTTAAATTTCATGTCAATGCTCTTGGTTTGATCTTGAGAAGCTGTTAAAATGAACCTGTTATTTCCGTTGTTTTTCTCTCTGACGTCCTGTCGTAAATATAGCTGTGCTGTTTTTCATATATTTTTAAAGCTGCATTCAGAATGCTTCCTTGTGTGCATGATTTAGTTTCTCTAGGTGTACATTTTTGTATCTTTTTTAATCACGGTTTAAGAATAAAAGGCTCTCCTCTTTTCTGGAAAAATGCGTCCCATCGTTCAATCCAAGTTATTAAAGCATCTAAAGCGATAACGTTGCACTTTTTACAGGATCAGCTATTGCTTTAGTCGACTAAGCAATTACCCACAAAGCACAGATTTGGTAGTAGGTGAAAAACAGATGTCTTTAAAGATGTTTTTTAAAGAAATAAACGGCTACAGGTGTCCATCCCTCATGCAATGCTGCTCTGCCGGCACTCCCTTTTCTCCTTCCGACTATACATGTTTACTAACTGAAGAATTTAAATGAATCCTTAAATGGCCGCCGGCTGAGACACGAAAATAGTGTCAACTTTCAAAAAAAGCATTCCATTTAAAGTTGAATTCATCTCCCCTGTATGTAAGTGAATTAGTAATTCTCTCACTCTGCGGTGAGAACAAACACATGAAGACGCCTTGTTGAAGCTGTGGTTTCAACGTGGAGTTGGTGTTTGACACATTTCACAAGCAGTAACTCCCAGACGTGTATCTGCACCTCTGTATATGTAATTTGTCCTGGAGGAATAAATATTGAATGAGTTTTACAGTAATGGCAAGTTTCATTGAGTTTTATAACACATTGTTTTATTCATGACAGCGACTTTTAAAATGCCCTCTGATTGATTGCAGTCCTTTTTATAACCCTGAAACGTGGTGTTGTTTTAGTGGATCCTTGATTACTGTAGTGTGAGAAAACAGTTTATTACTGAAAACAACCACACAGCTGTTTCAGGTGCAATTGCAATTTCATGTCTAGCGTGACACAATGAGTGTTTTTTTCCTCTTGGAGGCCGGCGGTGGAAACTCATGTAATTCACTTCCTCTCCCTCCTTTTTTCTTTTTCTTCCCTTTTCCTCCTCCTAGTTTTATGAGAAGGTGGCCAGAGGGATGAACTCGGACCAGGAAAGGCCGTACGTGTGCAACGCTCCTGGCTGTTCTCAGGTGAGATCAACAAAAACAACACAACGCGGCGCACGCGTGTGTTTGTGTCTTGAGACGGCCCTAAGAGGGGGTTACTACTTACAAACAGAATGGCAACGGTCCAAGTGTAACACAAATTGAATAACGTGCAGGTTTAAAAATATTCCATTTATTTAAACCTCAACAGCGATTCCAGACGGAGGACCATTTGATGATACATAGACACAAACATGAGATGACCCTTAAGTTCCCCTCCATAAAGAACGACAACATGTTATCAGGTGAGTTACGGCTACATTACTACAGACACACACACACACACACACACACACACACACACACACACACACACACACACACACACACACACACACACACCACCTCAGGAACCTCAGGAGGGTTCAAACTCGCTGTTCATTTGCAGGTGTGTTTGCTTCGGTGACTCATGCTCAGACACACTTGTCTGTCATCACAAAAATGCATGGCATGTCTACAGCAGTTGTTTACAATAATGTAAAACATATGATGCACGCTGCCTCGCAGAACAGCCCTTAACACTGCATAGTACCCATTATGCACACTGAGGGGAGGCGCTGACATACGACTGGATGAGTCATCATGTTTAGTGCGTTTTGTATTTTCCCTTCAGATGTGTCATTAGTTTGCATTTTTGCGATTCCTTGTGGAACAACTCAATTGTACAGATCAGTCAGTATCAGTGTTATTTGACTAAGAATCTCTTTCCTGTCATTCATTACTCAAAGAAATATCAAACTAGTGTGCCACGTACAGAAGTGTTAACCCACGGCTGATCCGTAAGCACTGATCTCTATTCGCTAGAAACAGCCAGGTCACACTAGCTGACAACACTACACTGCCGAGATTGTGTCTTCTTTATTATTTACGCCCAGTGGTCAGAAGGATTGGATTTTCTCGGCCGGCAGTTCTTATCGCCTATTGTCCGAGTTACAGCTCCGACTGTTTCTCTTACTGAGAACTCAGGATAAATAGTCACAAGTTACAGCTCAGCCACACATGGTAACTTCTCCTTAAATGTTAGTACTATGATGGTTGACCTAAAGTTAACCTAGTGCTCCATTGACTTATTATCTTCAACTAAAGATGGAAGCTACACTCTTTTTTTAATTAATAGAACAAAGTTGTTCAAATTGAAGAAAAAAAATATTATATTTGTAGTAAACCTGTATTTTGGGTACACAGCTCATGATGAAAGTCAATCCCTGGTCTAGGAAGAATGTATAAACACACCATGAAGTTTGTTTTTAGCCTTTGAAACAAGCCTGATCCCAAAATCACCTTCAGCTGAAACCTGATCTCCGTGCCCCCCCCAACGTCAAGTTGAATACTTGACTGAGCTCAACAAATAAGACCCCCACTCGGTAGGTGGGATCTGTACTTTATCAGCTGAAATGGGGCTGTCAAGCGCAGTATCTCTCCCTCGATAACAGCATGGAAGTTATGTTTTCTTAAAGTCAGTCAGCTAAAACATTACAGAAATGCACATTCTTTACACTTTAATCTTCATGGAGATCTACACTGGCTTCTGGGAAGAGCTTTTAGTCTAATTGTACAAAAATGGGATCAAGTGAGCTGACTATAATAATAATAATTTTCCGTCTTTCTTTTGAAAATATTTTGCAACAACATCACTGTGCATGTGCAGCATGTAGAATTTATAGCTGAAACTCAAAAAAACCTTCCCTTGATTTCCAGGCCAGACGCCCACACCGACGCGCTTCCTGAAGAACTGTGAGGAGGTGGGATTGTTCAGTGAACTGGATTGCTCCATAGAGCAGGAGTTTTGCAAGGCCCAGGAAGAAGAGGACAATAAACAGGTACCGCCTCCGGCTGAAAAAGAACCCAGTTGAACCTACAGCCCCCCCAAAGGGGGTTGTGTCCCGTGGATATGAACTGCTGTCTGCTGCTGGCATCAGTCATGTCACCAACGGCCGCTTGCACACTGCGACCTGAGGAACTTTTAATAGATTAAAAAACCTAGGATCTCATTCCACGACTCGCCGCTTGCATGTTAAAATCCACCTCTTATATTTCTGCCATATTTAACACCTCCGAGTTAAGTCCAGTGGTGCCCATCCGTCCTGTTGGCACTGACGGACGGGGCGGACGGGTGGAGATTTGAAACACAACAGATGAGGAGCAAAGAGATCAGTCACCTGTGACTTCAAACAGCTCCACAGCTCTCTGTCAAGGAGTATTACTTCCTCACAGACGTACGGACAAGCAATAAAAGCCCCGACCAGAAATGTTCACATGATGCGATCATTCATCCGTTATGGGCACCTTCACCTTCCACACAGGGACCAGTCAAACCACCGCAAGACAGACTGCTTATCTAATGTCTGGAAAGATGTGCAGTGCACGCTGCAGCTAAGCTGTTGTCTGGGTGGTTTGGCTCCGCAGCCCGTCTGTGCTCAGGTCGGCCTCGTCTGGCCTCGTCTGGCCTCCCCAGCCAGTGTGGTTTAAGATGGGAGGCTCTGCCGAGTCAGCAGGCGGCGAGTAGCAGCAAGACTCGCTGGGACGGCACAGCACAATAATACGCGAAAGAAACGCTTCATACTGGACGAAAACCGATAATGGGGTATTAAATAGTTGCATTATAATCAGTTACAACTTTAGTAGCAGAGTAAGTCATTTAGTTTCTTTAAAATATTTCAAAAAAGTTGTGACTGTGTTATTATTTCCTTTTTTTCACTGTACAATCTTTGCCAGCAGCTCTTTTTCAATTTTGCCTTCGATGCAAATAACTTCACTCGTTTGTTATATCACAAAATATGTATGTTCAGCTCTGGCATATACCATGTACGGGGGTTATTTCAGAATGTACGTGCGATAAAGAAACCTGGTCTTTATTAGGCTCTCAATGCTTCCTCAACTCCGAAAAAAGCCCGTAGATGATAGATTGCACAGTTCCTCATTGCTCATTCAAACAGTGTGCTGACGAATCTACGCGCAGGCAAGAATGTGGCATATTCCTGACACTGTATCCTCTGCTTGCTTTTCTCGCTGCAGAGCGTCTCGCTGCACGGCCAGGCGGGCCAAGGCCAGCACCAGCAGTCCCACTCGCGGATGGGCAACCATGACACCAGCATTGTGATCCAGCAGGCCCTGCCCTCCCCTCAGTCCAGCTCCGTCATCACTCAGGCTCCTTCCACCAACAGACAGATAGGGTGAGGAGGCCGAGCGGGCTGAGAAGCAACTTTATAAAGATGTATTTTTAAAAAAGTGTGGTTTGACTTGAAAGAGAAAAGCGAGGTGGGGATAGTTGGTTGTGTTTTTCTCTTTGCATCCTTGTTCACTCTGTGTTCCTTCCTGGTGATCGAGTAGTAGAAGCGACTTTTGAAAACTGCTGACGGAGTGAACGTAATCTAAGGAGCGCTGAGTGCATCCTCTCACCTCAAGTGCGCCCCCCGTTCCGGCGGCAACCTCAGGCTCGGCCTGGTCCCTTTGTGTCACCCCTCCATAAACTCAGAGGTGATGTCGGGTTTTGTACATTCGGAGCAGTGTGTGTGTGTGTGTGTTTGTGGGGGGGGGGGGGGGGGCGATTCATGTTTTTGCTGTTTATTCGGTATCGTCCCAGAGCAGAGCAGTGCCAGAAAGAGGGTCCCAGAGGACAAGACGAGGCTGTTGTTGAAGCCTTAGCGGTGACTGCTTTTCACAGCAGTTCAGCATTTCATTTTTTTACTTATGGATCCATTCACCTGACCTCCTTTTTGCTTTATCCCTTTAACCCCCAACCACCTTCAAACTTGAGCCTGGGCTTTGTTACAGTAAACCAGACCTGTTGCCAGCGAGACATTGAGAAGGTCTCAGCGTCAGCTGTGCTGTGCCCGGGTGTCCTGTGTAGATCTACTGCTGAGAAGCTGGTGAATATGGATGGGAGGCTCATTACTAAGCCTGACTGACACGCCGTCAGGCTCTTTGTTGAGGAGGCGGATGAAATTTCAACCCCGTGGAGGAGCAGCAATCACTGCCAGTAACAGAGACTTTGCTGGGCCGGCCTCACCTGAGTTTACCTGTCGTTAAAAAGCCACGCCAGCCGGCATGCCGCGTGGCAGTGGGTTCACAAACACAGGGTGGCACATGAGTCTCAGCTGTTGGGAGTTAGTGAGCCTGACGGTTTGCTGTTAAGTCACCTGCGTGCGACAATGTATTGAAGAAAAGACAATCGTGTTAATCCACACGTCTTTCCTGTTCATGTTTGTGCTTGGATTTACATTCTTAGCTCAGACAATTGGCTGAAGTTATCCTCGTCGGTCTCGCTTGTGCATGTGATCGCTCCGCGCCTATAAACCTTTTATCTTTGTGATGAATCCATCTCTAAATGAGAAGAAATCACCGACCGCAATCTGTTTTATCTCGCCTCCATCTGCTTCTTTCGTCCTCGGCTCTGCTGAACGCGCGGCGTGAGCGTCCAATGAATTAGGATAACAAGTCACTTTCATTGCCCCACAATGTTTACTAAAGAGCTTTGAGGCTTGGAATCAATTAGGATTGGCTTTCCTCAAGTCGATTTACTTTAGGGTTGAGCTGGGCCTGCAGCTGTGAAACATGAGGACCTCTCTCTCTCGCTCTCTCTCTTTCTCTACCCTTCTGCTCTAAAGTCCCTAAACAAGGTCTTCGGGGAGCGGGACTGACACAAACCAGTGTTAAAACCAGGCATAAGAAAGAACCAGCAGATCTGAATGTCACGGCTATCATTATCACACAAAGGGAAGCCGCGGGCCAACAGATTTGAATGCTTCAATTATAAACATCTGGTGCTGAGTTATGTCAGAGTAAAATTCGTTGGATGTTAGAAGTCAACCATGTGAGATAGAATGTTCTGTGGAAACCTCAACCTTTTGACTCCAAGGTGGAGATATGCTGGTACGGGTGTGGGCACAAGGCACTTAAAAACTAATTTATCTCCGCTGGCTCAGCGAAGAAACTCGTTTCCATTAAATAGCCCAATGTGTCGGGTTAAGTGATCACAGTGCAGATGTGGTTAAATATCTAATGATCAATTTACGATGATGTGGTATATAGTTACGCATCGCAATGTATCACTGTGCGTGAAAGCAGCTGCTTCTATCACATGGGGGCAATAGTTTTTTAGACTTTTGAAAACTTGTGAGCCTAACAGATGCCGTCTCTAACACCACCGACTGTTGGTATTGGTCAGTTTTGGTTTGTCACCATCATCACATTACTATCAAGACTTCAGAGTAAAATAATTCTGATGTGTTATAAAACACATTTTTCTTCAATCTACCATCTACCATAACTCATCTGAAGAGTTATTTGTGTTTTCAGTCGTGTGGCTCTTGTTGGTGATGTCCCACCCTGGGCGTCCTCTTTGCAAGTTTAAGTTTGGCTGTCACATCACCATTACTGTGTTTTTTTACCATGCTGCTTTAAATGCACAATATTTGTCACACTTCAGAGGCACTTGGGTTCCTGGTTTCTGCCTATAAAGGAAGTAGCACATATAGGTGTTGGTCTTCATGCCTTCTAAACAGAAGCGTTTCATGCAAAGCTCAAGTGCAGTGTAGTAGTACACATTTGAACTTCCTGTTTTCTCAAGTTGATTTGGTCTTATGCTAGTGGTTTATTAAGAGCCCCTTTTTAAAATATCTTGCTATTCTCTCTATTTCAACGCATGACATTTCTTTTTTCTTTGTGTAGATGATGATCATCATCTCAATCCAGATGATATGATTTCTGTATTCTGTTTTGCACCTTATTAAAAATACAGTCCGTACACGATTCGTCATATACAACTAATTTTGATTTCTCATGTTTTCCTCATGTAGTTCTTCATCTCTTACCCACCCATTAATTAATGACAGCGAAGTGGTGCTAAAGGTTTTGAAGATTTGAAATCCAGGATGCTTTGCATATCCTATTTTCCCATGCGCTGTTTTCAACCCCCATTGTGTCGGAGAGGCAAACATCTGCACACCTCCACAGAGAGTTATAGGCTTTCCATGGACACATGTTGACCTCATGAACTTCACAATTTAAATACAACTTCCTTTATTATTGTTTATGATTAGATTGCATTCATAAAGCGGTGATAAGCAGGGAGGTTCGCCCCTCGGTACAGGAGCGCACAACGTCCACAAAATGCCAGCGGTGCCCTCATGCGCCTATTTGACAAATGCTCTTCGCCCCACAAACAACTTAACCTGTGTAGCTAATGCACGTACAATAGCAGCAGGCAGAAAAGAAGAATGCATAAACAAAGGTACAGAAAAACAAAGATATGGTGCAATCAATTACAAAAGAGGAAGGAAAAAGAAAAAGGGAAGAGAATGCAGGATGTACATCTGACCTGAATTAAGATGAGCTCATTGTGTACTGCAGTGGGTTTAATAGTGCATTTGTAGAGGAACGCCCAGACTCTGTTCCCTCTCATTCCAGTGGGGCTGTGTCATCTCTGCCCCGGGGCCACCACACATGCAGGCTCCTGCACAAGCAACTCACACACTGGGACATGCCTCCCAGCGCCGGGGAGCAGGGATCACAACGTGGGGAGGTGTGGAAAAGGGGGATCAGAGGTGGACAGAGGGGAGGAAGAGAGGGATCAGAGGTAGATGGAGGAGAGGAAGAGGATGATAGGGGGTAGATGTAGGGGAGGAAATGAAGGATCAGGAGGGAGGACAGGAGAGAGAGTGAAGGGAGACATCAGGACACCCAGGACGGTGTCCCGCCGCGTGGAGAAGATAAAAGACGCGTGCACATAGGAAAGGAAAAGATTATTATTACAGATCATGTTTGGATGGAAGTGTGGATGAAGTGGGATCCGAATGAAATACGGTGTGAGAAAAAGCGCTGAGGTTATGAGAGGAAAATTAAGATGGAAAACTAAATGACATACAGTGTAATGAGACTGGAAATCAGGAATGGGATTCAAGGGGTGGGACAAACGAGCTAAGTATTAAGTTTGACTGGATGAAGAATGAGAAACATGAAGTATTATTCAAAATGAAACAGGTGATGTAAGCCAAATATGACAGCATCATGCAGGTGTTGCCTGATGTTGTAATATTAGCTTGTAAAAACAAGTTTTATTCTGATTGACTGGTGTTTCTTTAAATGAAAACGAAAGACAACGCATCTTCGCTCAGCTAATGGCGTCTAATGAATCAAAAACAGCATCAAATTTGGTGGGACAAATACCACAACGTAAGCCCCAATTCACTCCAGAGAATCACACGCAAACATCTCTCAACTGTGCTTTGGCGCGGCTTAGCTCAGCTTGAGACTCCCTGACGTGAGGACACCCCATCCCAGCACCCTCCCGGCATCCATCCCTCCTAGCCCGCTAACAAAAGTCAGCCTGTGTCGTAACCCATTAGGTCTGATTTATTTGATCAGATTCTTATTATTTCCTCAGTCCAAACCCCATGGCACTCTCCTCCCACCAGTGATTAAAGGCAGTAAATCAGGGCAGGTCCTGTGTAGTGTTTACTCAGAGAGCCAGGCAGCTGCAAGCTGTTTGAGGCCCTTGTTTCTCGCTCTGTTTACCTCCGTTCCCGTGGCGACTTACACCACCGTCTCCCGAACGTCTGGAACTTGGCCCTGGGCTGTTTTGGTTACGTTCTAAAGTTTTTTAGCTGCTGTGTCTACCCAGAGCTCACGGCGACTTCACCCAGTAAGGAGTGAGCGCAGAGATGTTGGACGAGTCAAGGAAGGAAAGAGAGCGAAAACCGAAGCTAGGAGAGGAGAGGAGAGGAGGGGAGGGGAGGGACGAAATCTGGGGGTAGGCAGGCACAGGGTGGGGGGAGGGCGAAAAGCCAAGAGCATTACATCATTGCTGGAGCAGAGTCAGAAAGGGAAGGATATGAGTCAGTGGACTGACTGCACCTCGCTCTCTCCCTCGCTCTCCCCCTCTTGCTCTTCTTGGGCGGCAGCCAAACCCTTGTGTTTAAGTCTCCAGTGCTTGAGTTGGAGCTGGGACTGTGTGGATTGGGACAGTAAAGCTTAGTGTGTGTGTATGTGTGCCGGCTTCAGGATTTGTAGGTTAGAGCAAGCCAATCCAGAGGGCTTGAGTTCACCCTGAGGGGTCCTGAAGAGAGTTATAGAGGTTTAACAGAAACATTAAGGAGGATGGAGGGAAAATGAGCAGGATGACTTAGAGAAATAGAGTACAAGTGATAAGAAAGCGCAGAAGAGGGGTACTGTGGGATAGAAGAAGGCCTCGCAGTGATGTCATAGTGGAGGGAAGGCGGGTGGGTCTTGGGCGGGGTCTGTGGAGGAGAGCTGGGCTTGAGAGCGAGGCACTCAGTAATGTGAGAGTGCGGGTCGGGACTGCAGAGCGTCTACCTGCCCTCCCCTGGGGCCCGCGGCCCGGGCTATTATCAATCCCCTCAGTGGAGCCGCAGCCCGTCATTATTCACTCTCATGCGCGCACTCACGTGCACACAGTGAAACTTGCACCCATTCACACACAAACACTCTGAACGTGATCCCACTAATCCACTGTACCGTCTGGCGCATAATGCATGAACAGTCAATCCGATGTAAACACTGAGAGAGGGAGGGAACTAAAGGGAAGACACCTCAAGCTAGAATGCTGGTAAAAGTATGTTAATACTAAGGGTTGCATCTAACTTTTGTTTTGTTTACTTCTGCTGAACACTGATAAACTCAAAAAAGTCACAGAGAAGATAGTTCGTCAGGCACTCTCAAGCACAGCAAAGACCATTCATTCTGTCTGCTCTCAGGGAAATAGACAAGAAGAAAAAGGTTTTTGCTCCGTTAAATATCTGACAATAATGGTCTCCAGTTTCCAGAGAAAAATATGCAATTCATTACGAGAGGATAAACTAAAGCAGGAAATGATTACGTTTGAGAGGCCCGTAGCAGCCAATCTGGAAGATTATTGAAACTAACTTTCAAATAATGGACTTGTGTTTCAGCTCTGTTGAGGCTGCAATGCAACAAACACACACACACACACACACACACACACACACACACACACACACACACACACACACACACACACACACACACACACATACACACACACACACATTAATAAAGAAAATATTCTCATTTTCGTCCATAGAAGCTTTTTAACTTCGCGCCCGTAAAAAAAATATTTTTTTTTCGCCGGGGGCCGCCTTTGGGGAGGTTATCCAGGGGGGGGGGGGTTCGAGGGGTGGGGGGTGTTTTCCCCCCCCTGGAACCACCACGTTGTTTTTTTGGGGAGGGGGGGGGTTGGGAAATTTGCCCCCCCCCCCCCCCCCCCCCCCCCGCCCCCCCATCCCTCCTGCTCTGCTGCAGGTGACAAGCGCAGCAACACAACCTGTACAAGCTTCAAAGAAGCCTTTCTTCTCTCCAAAGCAGGAGCCTGACCTGCGAAAAACGAGCCGACCTGCCTGTGCCACGTCCTGACTGCAGTGTGATTAAACTTTCTTCGTGTCAATATCAGAACCTGAAAGCTTTTCATTTATCAGGTGTTGTAGAGTTTTGAGAAGTGTTTGGTTCTGGCACACACTGGACGTTCTGAAGTTTCTTTCAATCACTTCCAGAACCTTTACTCTTCATTTTTATGGTTGAAAATAACAGATTTTCCATCAAAGTTGCTGTGGCAATCAGTCTAAACAGAACCATCTGAGAATACTAACTGTAAATGTAAATTGAATCAGCATAATAAATGTGTAGAATGCACAAGGTTATGACGTATGCATATTAAGCAGTGAAAGTATCTGTGTATAGCTAACATAACATTGTAATGCATTTGAAATAAATAGTAATAGCAATACATAAAGAACTTCTCAAATAAAATTAGCTACTCAAAGCTAACGTGAACGAGCCAATTTTAAGTTGTCATAGAGATGTGAGCAAAGATTTTTCAACATAGTAAAATAAAATAAAACTCATAATCATTTCATCAGGGGGGCATCATAAGGAATGCAAATCCCACAAAACAGTTACAGTGATCAGCCGCTGCTTTGTGACTGTTATCTCCTCCTCTTAGACGATGGCAGAGTCTTAACGCAGAGGGAAACTGTGTTGGTGTAGTGCACATACTGCACACCTAATTCTACATTCAGGACTTTTCCCATGTGGAAATGTTTGGATTTGCAGTCTTGCTCAGATGTCATATGTGCTGTTAAATGAGTGTGATTGTGATAAATTGGGATGTTAGACAGGAATGACACATAGTCGGGGATGGTAATGATGCTGTGTGTGGAGCAATCTTAAATGTCTGGAGCGTAAATGCACATATTTAGGACTGGAAAAATACAGTTATTTATTCAGGTGGGGGAGCGTTGCTCTGGTGCACCCCTGCGCACCTCCACCCCCGCTTAAATTGCCGTCACGCCTTCACTACTCACTCTTACGCTAATCCAGGCTATGATTTGGTCAATTGATTATATTAACCCGTCAGATGCAGCGCACCCAAATGCTCCTTGTTTGCAGAGAAGAAATTGAGCCTCCATTCACCCGCATGTTATCGAGAATGTGGACACTTGTTGATTCTCCTACGACAAGTAGTAGTGCCGACTGAATAGTTACTACATGCACGAGGATCCCTGCAGCAGGGAATCTGTGGTTCTTACAAGCAGGGATTTGGTGGCAGTTGGATGAGTGATGTCACCGCGTGCAGATGGAGTGGTCTGGCTGTTTGGATGGCTGGGGGGGCTCTGCCAGTGACAAGACTGCTGTCAATAGTTTAAGCTTAGCCCGGGCGTCATCTGCGCCAGTGATTTATTGATGTGGCCGTGAGTGCGGATAGGCCTGCTGGTCCGTGCACACTTTTGTGGTCGCCAAGAGTTTTTTTCCCCCCCACTGGACTCCCACCGCTGTAAGCAGTTTCTAAAAGGGGTCCTCGATCATGCTCGCCCCGCGGTTGTTATGACAAATATTATGCATTCGTCATCGCCATCATCGTTATGCTTCCATTGTACTACATGAAGGGTGCTCGTTTTAAGTGCGTCCAAAAACTCCCAAGATGCTTCAGCTTTCAACTGCAGTATGACTACACAGCCACATGCTCCTTTTTTCAGTTTGACTTTGTAGCTGCAGAAACTAACAAGTCAAAACTAACAAGTGGAAAGTAAAAATGAAAGAAGTTGAGGAAAACATTTTCAAATAGCACAGATGTGAAAAGAATGAATGTGTGGAATTATTTTTTAGATGAAAGAGAAGTTTATGGGTCTCACAAATTACTATATTATTATACTTTTAGATTAATTTTCAGTCTAATACAACTACTATGAGATTATACTGTAGTATGTGCATAGTAAATACAGAAAATATAAGGGCTATTTATAAGTGTATTTGTCAAGAACTATAACTCCTCCTGTGAATACAGATAATAAATGTGTCAATGGATACAGAATAATGAATAATTTAAAATAGGTCTTCATATTTTGTTGCAGTATGAGTATTTAATAGTGTTAATTTTATTATTTATCGACCAAACGTATCGACAAAGTTATTTAATAATTAAATTCTGTTAATGTTGAAATCTCTGGAATAAATCAAGAAAATGGACCTTGAATTAAGTTCTGTTCTGAAGTTGTGATTACATCTGTGTTATTTACCAATATTAAGCAATCACTGTGTGTTTACACACCGTTATGTCTGCGTTCACATTCTAACTTACAGGAAGTCGTAGATGGATTTGATGTTTTCAAATGACAAAAATAAAACAAGACCATAAGGTGTCTGAATGTCGTTCTGTGTGTTCTCAGGCCCGTCCCCGGCTCTCTGTCCTCATTGCTGCACCTACGAAACAGACAGAGACAGCCTCTGCCAGCCTCCATGCCTGGAACTCTGCCAGACCCGACCATGCCCGGCTCCTCAGCCGTGCTGATGCCTGTGAGTACGACAACAGCGCACAGAGCACAATCACTCACTGGTGCAGCCACACTCACAGGCGGAGTCACTCACCCATATGTGACGACAGTGGACATTCAGACTGCACGTGCGCCACGTATTAGATCGGGATGTTTTCCGTCACCGTTAAAATGATTTAGCACAGTTTGTGAGGAAGGGGTCTAGTTTTCGGTTTGGAATATAGACTTTATTATAATTAAGCCAAAAAGAATCAGGGAATGACAACAACCCGGAGAAAGCTCCTTCTATCAGGATTGTAATGATACAACATATGTTCTCATTGTAACACAAGACTGCCAGTGTTTATGGTATAGGGGGAAAAAAACTCCCATGTTTATTAAATTAAGAGCTAAGCGATTTTGGGGAAGATTGACGGTTCAGGAAAGGGGTGCAGGTTTGGGTGATATTTTTACACAAAACACACTTAGTGCAATTAAGGCTGTGTGTCAGGTTCTAGGCCTGAGTCTCTGTGGACGTGGAGGGGGAGAGAAGCGGGGGGGTCAGGTTCTAGCGGGGAGGGGGGGGGGGGCATTCCCCATGGAGACCATCACACCACCCAGAGTTCAGCAGCTGTGAGGCCACAGCAGCTCACACACGTGTGCATGCTGACGCTCACACAAAACTTTCTTCTTTCCTGCATGTACTGCTCAGCCCTCAGCTTAACCAGCTGATTTCCTCACATTAGTTCTCAGCTGTGCAACATGGCCACGCTGACCAGGGTCACTAAGTGGCCGTCAGTAACTAAGCACACTCACTAGGACAGATAAATATATATATATATATATATATATATATTTATCTATATATATATATATATATATGCATTCATATTAATAACGCACCAGTACACACATCTCGTTCGCCTTTAACACATTCTGTGCCGGCACGGAGCCGGGGTTTGAGGCGTTAGTCCGACTTGTCACCCACCAAACTATTATCAGAAACACACCCCTGTTGCACTGACTTCCTGTGTTAAGTCCCTCCGTGCTGGCTTCCTGTTTTGGGTCAGCTCCAGTTATCATCACACAGAGCTGTGCACAGTGCGGTCTGTCATGAGAAATCAGGCTCCGGTGCTCTCTCACCTTATCCCCTCAGCCTCCCGCGCTGCAGGATGAGTCTCACGCTTGAAACACTTGTTGTGGGAATATAGTGATCATGAGCATGCTTGTTAAGACATAGAAAGCTCTGATAACCGCTAAATGAATAGTTTTTTGATGATTCATCTCGTGAGAAAAAAGGTTTTGTGGTGTAGGAATAGTATTGGTTCAAAGTTTGACCTTTGCCATTGTGATTGACAGATGGAGAGACAAATGTCAATGGGCGCCAATATGATGGGTATGCAAGGACCTGGCCACGGTAACTCCTGCTCCTCCGCTCACATTCCCTCCATGCACTCGGAAGCCAAACTGGTGAGTGCATGCACGTATTCACATCGGTACATCCACATTCATGCATGCACCAACAAGCTCAACTTGTTGCAACTGTTCTTTTTCCACCGGGCTGCACCAGCAACGCTGCGCTCTCAGGTCTGCGTGGATTTCATCATTTGGAGTGTAACCAAAGCTGTGTCTGAGCCGGCCAGTGCAGCACCGGAGACTCTGGGATAAAGGGCCCTTTATGTGGTTGTGGCTGGGCTGCCCACCGACTGCCTCATGTATATCTTAATGTACAGAACATGTTCTGTAGGTCCTGCAACTTGTTAGCACTAGTTTAACAACAGCAGTCAAATGACCTCATCCTTCACAAAGTGGGCAGTTAGAGCTGTGGGAATGAGATGTGGCCAAGAGAGGAGAGAGATAGAAAGTGTCAGGAGACCAACTGACGAAGGAAATAGGCACAGAAAAGAAACCTTCCAAGCGGTTCAACTGTGCATGTTAGCGCTGCTAATACTGATGCCAATGACTGACGGTTTACTTCTGATTAATGTCAAATGCACTGACAGTTGCACTCAGGGTGATGTGACTTGATAAATCCTCTGGCAACATGAGCAGCAGCCAATCTTTGTTTTCAAAATAAATAACTCTGAAAAGTGAAATGGCGCCATTGAAATAAGAGCAAGTGTGATGACGTGGATAACCTAAAAAAAAGCCATAATAAAAGCCATAATGGAAAGCATTGGAACACTTTGTGTTTGGGAAGGTTCACTGATAGCTGCATTTGCTGGACAGAAACATCTCGTGGAGAGAGAGAGAGAGAGAGAGAGAGAGAGAGAGAGAGAGAGAGAGAGAGAGAGGAGGTAGCAGAGGTCATTAGAAGAGTTATTGCTCTGATAGAGTAGAGAGGGAGCATTCCCAGGGCATTTGATTCTCCCTCTTCCTCATGCTCTCTCAAGATTGATCGTCTTTGTAGTCCTTTGAATCTCTTCAACTGTTCCTATGGTAACACGCTGGGGTAACACAATATTAGTGTATTAGGCTTATCTCTTCCCTGGCAATCATCCAGACAGATCTTACTCTTTTTTTCTCCTCCTATCTATGTAATTGAATTGTAAATGCTCTGTTAGTCCTCCCATAAACATATGCAGTCACTAAATGGCTACAGGCCCCGCGACCGTGCAACTTTCTGGTTAGTTGGCCGTTCAGACACGAGCCACAGCAACCAAATGTGGATCAATTGAGATTCTGCTCCCTGATGTCTGAACACAACTGATGGAATTCCATGATTGTGGACAGAAAGTGAGAGACTAATTCTGTTATCGGAGTGCGATCTGCAGCATAGGTTTCATAAGCATAGACAGGGTTTCTAATGTCTGTAATATCTGCGCCTGGGCCAGGTCGATAAATACGGCCTCGCTATCGGATAACTGGGCCATGATCAGGCCCATGTGTCCCCTGCGACGTTCTCAATCCGGCTCTAATCGCATTAACCCGACCATGTTGACTTTCCGCCAATGGGAAATCTCCTCACTGTAACCCCACACCCCCGAAGCCCGGACCTGGATGCACTCCTTCTGCTCAACGTTTACATTGTGCGAGCGGAGAAGGGTATTGAGTGGGACTTTGAGAGACATGAAGGAAATAGATAGACAGGCAGAGTGAGCAGGGGAGTTGAAAGTGGAGAGATGGTATTGATAATTTGAGACAGGAAACTGGGTGCGAGGGTGAGAAATTGGAAGAATTCTTTGCTGTGACATGAAAGGACTTCTGTTTCCTCCGCCACTCTGTATGTGTGCATCCACGTGTGCTCATTTTGAGGTTTCTTTTTTATATCTTGTAGTAACTGGAGGCCTTGGTAGCAGGATTAACCCTCCCCTGCCAGAGAGAGCATGCCCAGAGCTTCGGCTAATGAAGGCTAATTGATTTTGTGGTGGGCCAGAGCAGCAGGGAGGCCTGTCTCTGGTGTAAATAGTTAATGAGCCTAAGGACTGCTGTGGCCCCTTGGGGACTCGTATCTCGCTCTAACCTTTCTGTTTGTGCTCTCTGGGCCAAAGACTCTATCTGCATCAGTGCCCATCTTTCTTCTCTTCCATCTCTGATTTTCTCCTTAAGTGCCATCGTTTAAGTGGTACAGCAAAGCCCAAAGGTGCACTAACGCATTTCTATGTTTTCCCCCCTTTGCTTTTAGCTTATTGTTTCGGAATGTTTTATTAGTTTAGTTCAAGTGTGTGTCTTTTTTTATTCTTGTGAAGGACTGGGTGCTCATGGTGCCGGGTGTGGTTGAGTTCTGCTCTGTTGTGGGTTAGGGAATAGAATGGTGTGTGTGTGTGTGCGTGTGTTGTGTGCTGGAGGTTGTGGGATAGTTGACCCTCACAGCGTAGAGGAAGCGCTGCAGAGAGGAGGCCAAGTTCCACAGCACGCCGGCCAAAGCATTACGTCAACGCTCAGAGCCAGCTCTCCAAAGGGGCTCGCAAACACACACACACACGTGATGACACGCATACGCACACACTGACTGCTCGAGCTCTGTGTCATCCTCTTTGCATGGTGCCACAGACTTCCACATCCATGGACAGTCAGGTACTTAAAAACAACATCAAGTGAGATGTACACACATGCAAGCAAATGTGAATTCCTGCCTCTCCCGCTCAGCTGGTGTGACACCTTTGTTTGAATGATGAAAGAGAGTCGCTCGTTTCTCACCCGTAACAAGGGAACCCCAAACACGCCTAATAACATCTGTGAGTGCCGACTCAGCTCGTGTCCGTGGTCGAAGTCGGCATTGTTTTTTTGTCCCTTTTTAAATCAGCTCCATGCTTTCCACACATCCTGCTTTGCCTGCTAATTTCAGGCAGAAAAAGTTTGAAACAGATGTATGAAAATGTGGGGTTTATTATCTCCCAATTATCTATTGTTTACATTGTTACTAAGGACAATAAATTTGTCACTAAGCATCAGGCTAGGTGCTGACTTTTTTATGAGCTAAACAATACTATATGTTCCTTCACTGCAGCTCTCTTGGCCGTGGAGCTGGCACAGGATTGGTGGATGACATAATTCCTGGCATGCTCTAAATGTACTCCTTTTTACTTGAGGAGGGAAAAAACACTGCGTCTCTTAAAGAAACATTTCATGGGACACAGGAGAACCAATAATCAAAGTGTTTCTAGCAGCCTAAAGTAACGTGTTTTTTTTTTTACATTCCACTTACACCACCCTTACTGTGCTTTTGTTTAAGTATACAGTACCAGTCAAAGGTTTGGACCCACTTTCTCATGAGAAAAAATGAGTGGGTCGAAGAATCACAACATGCATTTAGGTTAGTAGGCTGTGTTCAAGTGTCAAAGAGAAACATTTCACATGCATATACTGTAATTCATGCCAAGAAAAAGTGATTTGTAGGTTTTAAACTTTGCAACGCATTGATTGATTGAACAATTAGACCAGCATGAAGGAAGCAGTTAAACTATCAGTGTACCTGGAACCCCAATTACGTTTTCCATTCATTTCCTTCCACCGTAGCGGAGCACCTCTGGCTAAACGTCTTGTTGTGAGGAGGAGCAGTGCACACAATAGGAGTTTGACTCCAGGTTTTGTAGGCAACATCTGCATGAATGGTGGCATTGTCAGAGTATGAGGTCATTAGAGAGGGACGGTGAGCATAGTGCACAGCTGAAGCTGCAGGCTGCTTCACTAAGCTCTTATGTGTACGTGTACTCTACATATGTTTGTGTGCGCGCTCACAATCGCGCATGCAAGTGCTTGCTTTCAGTGGATTGGCACCCTCTCTGGCAATCATTGCCCTCGGGGTCAAAACACATCTGTAGACTAAGTGGGCTAGAAAACAACCCATAAAGTTCGAGTTGGACGATAGTATTCGATGCAGCTGCTATGTGCATACTGTATGTGTGGTTAAGTGTGTGGATGGGCGATAAACAGCAGTTGAACCAGGACACACGGCACATGGCAAGAGCCGCTGAGATGCAGTGTTGCAGAGGAGGCGAGTGGTTTCAGCAGAGTGGAGTGTAGGTCTGAGGAGCTGCAGGATCAATGTCTGCCAGTTTATCAGTGTTGGACACAGACCAGAGAGGGGCCCCTTTCTCACTGCCTCACAGCGAGACGAGTGTACCGCCTACATACTGTAGTAAATCAGAAGCAATCGGACAGGCTGTGTTTAAAGATTGCCTCTCACCAACGCAATTTTTGTTATAATGAGCAATGTGTTTAACTGCTGTTGAAATATAGTATATAATTAGCCTCTGGATATATTTAAACATTTATATGTAATAAAACTGTATTACTTTTATTGGAAGAAGTTAGTGAAAACACATTATTAGGAACAGAGTTTTAGGAGAAAGTCAACTGACGGACATCCCTCATTGATCTGAAAGGAAGATTTAAGTGCCTAAATTCACATCAAACTTACATTGAAATGTGAACAAAGAGTTATTCCTGCGTGAGAAGATTCCTTCATTTGAAATTTGATAAAAAGCACAAAAAGTTTTACAGCTGAAGGTTCAAGTTGGACATGGTAAATCCAGCAGTTCTTTAAAGGTCTGTTTTTTTTAGAGAATTTATTTTTGAGAATTTACAGGGGTGGAGGCATGTAGGCATGTATGCATTTTTGTAACAATGTATGTGTGTGTGTGTGTGTGTGTGGGTGTGTGTGTGTGTGTGGGGGAGGGGGGGGGGGGGGGGCAGCTGTGGCGCAGAGTGTCGCATCTGTTTGTCTTTGGATGACTACGTGTTGTTTTAGCTGTGCTGATGGGAGGTGTATGCGGAGGCCTTTTGGTCATGGTTCAGGGCCCCTGAATGGGACCGGGCCCCGGTAGAGTCCAGCTTGGGTAAACCAGCTGCCAACACCACACGGGGCAGACTGGACTGTTCCAGCCACCATGAGCCCCCCTGGAGCCCAGGCAGTGAGCGACTCCAAAATGACCTTCCAAACACTGGAGGGATGATTGGAAAAAAAATGTCTGTCATGTCAGAGATTTTGCATCTGATAAAAAAGTCAATATTGAACAGTTAATTAC